AGCCTTACAGTTGAGACCGGAAGACACAAGACTAGGCCTTAAGATTATGGCCGGGAGACCAGACTAGGCCTTAAGGCAACTTACCTGAATACACGATCATCATTGTCAAAAAACTCCCATTCCAACAACATATTGTTGACAAAACATGAATGTTGTAAAATATAGAAACCTTGAACTTTACGATCTACTATCCAACTGACGTCCTCAAAGACAACGATATCCTTGGCTGGTAGTGTTGATATAGGTTTTCGGGTCCATTGTAAGCGATGAAGATTCGAACAGTTATCTTCCAAAATGCAGTTGCCCTTGACACGAAAGTCGATAACATCTGTTGCTGCTTGGTCGTGTGGTTGAAGTTTACTGTGTTGGGGGAGGATGAACTCGGGGTCACAGTTCGTCAAAACCTTTCGGGCTTTAGAGTAAGCGTCTGCTTGGGCATCTGTTCGGTTCTCTGCTTCACCAATCATGATGAGATGACCAGCTAGATAGAGGTTACAGAAAATTTTCTCCTTTTCTATTTCTGTGTTCATGCTACGACGGTACAGACAAATGGGCGTCAATTTTACATCGTTGAAAATTCCATCCAAGACAGTAATGATGGATGCAGGATGCGTGGCACTGCTAAGTTCGTTCATTTTGACAAACTGTTCACGGAGATCAAATGCCCTAGGATTTGGTGCTGCCTTTACCAAAGTGCTCTGAACCTATGCTTCTGCTTCTGTTATGACAGACTGTTCGACACCATCTAAGATGTTGCCATGTTCAACATTCATGGTGGTCAGTCGTTCAACCACCATATTATAACACAATGACTTAGCAGTTTTTTTGGAAACTGAAACACCTGCACCTTGTAGTATGTTGTCAATAAAGTACATGCCCTTATGATAAACTTTCCCTGATTCAGCTTTACAACTCTCTACATCATATCGACAACGGACTCGACATTTAGCCACAGAGGCCGCCAACTCCATTTTGCTGATTGAATTGGTTGAAGCATATTTAGGATTGGTTAGAATATCTTGGATCTGTTTCAAAATAGATGGTGGGGGTAACTCTGCAATTGTTTCTTTCTCCATCTTAGCAACGGTCGAGTTAAAATTCTCCAGTTTCTCCTTGATAACTTTTGGGGTCATATCATCCTGGTTCAAAATTTCAGTGACAGGAAGGGTACGATAAAGTTCCACCGCCTTCTTGAAACATGACAGTTTGATTTCTTTCTTGTTGATGCCGATAGCTCTGGCTAGGAACACACCACCCAGATTAAGTCGGCCAGTGAAAAAGGATCCGTTCTTTCCTTGTACCATGCCATCGATCAAAAAATCTGGTCTAATTCCAACTTTACAACTCATCAGAGAATTCTCAAACAACTAAAATGAAATAAAATAGGATTTAATGGGAAAGAGAGGAAAATGGGCTTTATTGTTCACTCGACACTAGGTCATTTCGGGACTAACATATAGTTCATTTTATTTCATTAGGGGTCTTTAGCAGTGGAAGGAAACCCTGAGGACATGGAGAAAACGCACGAGGTTGAACAGACGACCCTACTCCTTGTCACGTACAAGCGGGTAATGACGCATTAACGCTTCGACCACCCAAACTCGCCCCACTGGTCTTATGTAGATGGGCAAATAAAAGAATTTTATACGTAATACATGCTTAAATAAAAATAAAAATAAAGCAGAATCTGTGTTTTTAATGAGATTATTGTGAAAAATATTAAACATGCATTATGCAAGAGCTAAACCTGTCAATTTCAGGTCTTTCTTTAGGCCTGAAATCTTATCTAAATTATTAATTAGACATTAATTAACTTATCCAGACCATAATAAACTCCCGATGTCAAGGCTAGCCTTCGATGTCGACTGGATTACAATTCTATATGCTGCTATCGCTCATTGATAATTAAATCACAACAATAGACAATCGAGACTATTAGTTTCGAGGCTAGGCGAAACTTTCATCCGCTTAGTTTTCGGTTCATAGTGGACCAATTTGACTGACATTTTCAGCAAATTCCCTTTACATTATGTAGTTTTTAACTATTATAGTGAGAACTGCTAACTCGTTATCTTATCTCCATCTCCCATAATGTATCTTTAATAAATAAAACCTCACCATAATTTCATTGATTACTTTTTTTTCACTTCGTAAAAACATTGAAAGTCGTCGAATTTTTTCTGCTAGCGGCAATTTTGTGGCATCGATTGGTTCTGGGTTGGGTGTTTTGTGTACAGCGGCAGCAGGCAGACCTTTGTTATCAATGGGGCGTGTCTGGCAGCATGGTAATGTTTCCCATTTCTTCTCTGTAAATAAACCATTAAAAAATGTAGTTTGTTAAAGCTGCATTTAGTAACTGTATTGAATAAACCATGACTAATATACCGGTGTATTAAATACAAGTTTTTTCACAGTTCATTTCTGACGACGTCTTGAAAAGTGTTCTCTTGTATTTATCAAGCCACAAACAAAATAAACTTCTAAATAACTTGTATTCTGAATATTGTTTAGTGCCCAGGTTCACTTTGCTCATTTCTGTTGATCAGCGGCTGGGGAGGGGGGGGGGATAGGTTTTACATTTAGATTCAGAACGAACATGATTCTTCTACAGCCATCCTTTTTACAGTGGTTACAACTTAAACATACAGGTTTCAAGTTTAACTGACTACCATGACTAGAGATTAGAATAACAGAATTTTAAAACAAAATTAAAAGCTTTTGAGCAGTAGTACGGTAAAAATTATGTGTGTCAAAAAGATAAGCACCACCGTTTAAAATGAGGTCTGTTTGATATTTAACCATCAACAATAAATTCAGATGGTTTTTATTTGGAACCATGTAATATCCATCACAAAATACTTCCAGCATAAGTCTTGCCACTCCAAGAAGAATAGTGTCAGGTTCCTTTGGTACCATGGTACTAATCAAACAAGAGGTGTTGAGGACGTGATCCAAGTGAGAGAGGGGGGGGGGGGGTTGGATGGCTGAATGGTTAGCGTGCGCGCGCTGTATCATAAAGTCTGTCATTCAGTCAACTGGCGTGGTTTCGAATCCCCGGTTGTACGTGACAAGGAGTAGGGTCGCCTGTCCAACCTTGTGGGTTTCCTCCGGGTCCTCCGGTTTCCTCCCACAGCTAAAGATCCCTACGCGCAAGCGAATTATGGAAATAAAATTGAACCATATGTTAGTCGAGTGGACGTTAAACCCCATTTCTCTCTCTCTCTCCAAGTGAGAGAGGGATACACATGACGATGGTTATCACTACTCTTGTCTGTAATCCTCATCCTTTTCCTGACCAGATCATCTAATGGACTCCTATATTTTTCGAAATCCTCAATTAAAAAATATCTATTACTTAAATGACCAAATATTCCTGTCTTGTTTTACTTTAAGGTGGTCCTTAACCTTTTGTCAGTTGTATTTATTTTTATAACTTACTTGCACCACCGGCACTGTTTGCGGGAGTTCCAACACCTCCTATAGAATTCAACTCATTGTTAAAAATATAATTTGCGGGTCACGGAAAGATAACTCTGTTTGGAAACATGGTTTGGTGTAGAGGAGTAACCGAAGTTGGCCGAGTGAAATCTGCAGCCGGTTGCCGAGTGAAAAATAGAAAGTAACTCATTGAAGATCCAGTATTGTGCGAATGCATGTGCACCACATCAATCATATCAACAGCAGACATCCGTTAAGGGAGACCACTCTAATTCAATAATCTAATTTTTACGCCCATAGGCTTAAAAACGTTTTTTGGGGGGCTTAAATACGTGCAGTCCCGGTACCGGGTACGGCACGCTTGTCGCTTTTTTGTAGTGTAAACGGGTCAAACGTAAGCGTGCCGCACCTGGGCCCCCGATTCCTAGAAAATTCTTAAGCACGTTCTTGTGCTTAGATTTTAAGTAGACTTTGTATTTAAGTAAACTTACCTTATTTTGTGTTCCCAGAAAATTCTTAAGAACGTTCTTGTGCTTAGATTTTAAGTAGACTTCATTGTATTGTAAGCACAAGAACGTTATTATGCGTTCCAAGAAAAAACTTAAGCACAACTTCGTTCTTAAACATAGTCAATCAAAGCACAAGTCCCAAGCAAGGTATACGGCTTGCTTACCAACCTTAAGTCTGTTTCAGCTTGAAAAAGATAGCTGACCGTAGTTATTCGACTGCATTTCCGACACCTTTTGATACCAAAGAGAAAATTACAAGACAGAGAAAATCCTTCTCCAGAAGAAATTAAGAATGCTAGGGGGCCTATAGAAAATTAATTCGCTTTACCCTGAAATCATTTTATTTATTTGCCAATTACTAAACAATAGGCTACTAACACACAGGCTACTTTAAGATCAGGCGCTCTCACAATTATTCAGTTAGTTTGTATGTGTCTGCGTTTTTTATCTTGTGGCACATTTTATATGTGTATAGGGGACATGTCATGTCAAATGCATCTAAATCAACCATATAGGATGATGTCAATGAAGCAGACGACAAATTTATGACGTAATTTGCATACCAAAGTTGTTTTTATGACATTAAAGAGCATCGTAGTCACAGTTTATGGTAAACCTTACTAGTCACAACGTGCTAAGAATTATACTTGACTTACGCTTACGTAAGAATGGTCTTGAGAATTTTCTAGGGACGGTATTTTTATAAGTTTCTTACGTAAGAAAAGTGAAGCATGACATTGTGCTTACTTTAAGAATTTTCTAGGAACCGGGCCCTGGTACGGTGCCAATCTGGCCCATTGAAGTGAGGTGGTCTCAGAACGGTACCAGGGCCGGCTCGCTTTAAATTTTCGTAGTGTAAACGCAAACCGGTCTGAGCACGGATTACTGTGCATGCACCAAATGAACCTTGACCTGTGCATTAGTTGGTCTCATTTTCGCAAACACCCCCTCCCCCAAACAAAGTCGATATGTACGCCCCTGAAGACAATATACCTGCACATCTAATATGGGCTGCAAGTTTATATTGATTTATAGAAAACAGAAATTGACAACTGGAATGTGGTAGTTTATTTGAAATACAGAAACAATTAGAAATGACTGTACCACGGCTGTTAAAAGCAATGGATAACATACTTCTATAATCTCTAAACATTTCTATTTAGTTCTTAGTCAGGATATTCAGACATATAACAAATAGGTTATGATGTTTTGTGCGGACAGAGGTCATACAAAGAAAGTTTATATATAGTACATTAAATATAAATAATTAAAAAAGAATATTACTAGACACAGTTAACAATGTTGATACTAAAATATAAGTCTAACAAAATAAACATACAAAAATTGTTCTGATACATACAATTACTTTTAAAATAAAAATGATATTTAGCACTACAGCTTTAAGTAATATTTCACATTTTGTCTTTTTTTATGCTTTTTTTAAAAAAAAAGAAGAAGGGAATTAAAGTTCATTAACAATGTAAGTAGTGTTTATGAAATCTTGCCGACCCTGCTTTCAATAATAAGAAAAACTTACTACAACATTTAATCACATTTTAAAATAGATATTATTGTTTTAAGGCAAACTATTAAGTTGTGGTTTATCCCATAGCATTGAGTATACTACTTGTAGTGGTTTTTCTTGTTTTGAGCTAGAACTTGATTTATACCATATAAACGGAGGTCCTGGTAGTTCAGCAACTGTACTATAGACAGCACATTTCTTAAACTGACATGGTGACTCTCTCCACGAATATCGGATTCCAAGAATATTTTCGCCAGTAGCACAGATGGGATAAAGATTAATGGATTTGGTTGTATTAGAAACAATAGGAGTAGGTAACCACCAGGATTTAGAACTTGTACATTCATTTCCTCCCCCAACTGAACAACAAATCTGTCAAAATACAAACAAGTGAAATTGTCTATAACCACTAACTAATTAACTATATTCAGTTCAAACTTGATTAGAGTACTCTGAGCATAAACGTCTTTCAAATACATGGGTAAATTGGTTTCTTTCAATCTGATTAAAACACAGATCCTATTTCGTTTCGTTTTTATAGTTCAAAATTTCGTTTTATTTGTCTTTACTACACTAGGATCTGGAAGAGTTGTTATGTTATCGGCGTTTTGGTTGAAGGGAGAGATTAGCCAAAGAAACAATCTGTTAGGGCGAGTACTTGGCCTTTTGATGCACGGAACTGTGTGTAAACCACTAGAAACGTCAACGCTGATTGATTAATCAATGTCTGCCGTCATAGGGTCAAAAGTCGCTCGTTTGACCCCTGACATGAACTCCCACTATAACTTGTCAGATCTTCATGTAGAGTAGGCCATCGAAACGAAACCAAATATAGATCTGTATTTTAACCAGATTGCGTTTCTTTCAACTTAACTATTGCATTTATTTTTGCAGATTGTGTTGATTTGCTTGTGAGCAATGTGGATAATGGACAGGGGTGACGACAACATTCAACCACATTTCAATGTGGGCATATAGAAACGTAGGCTTATATATATGAAATGTAATAGGGTTTAACGTTCTAAATAATATGTAATACTTTACCTCAAAGCCCTCTACGGTTCGTACTTCAATCTGAGCAGAGAAGTCAAGTGTTATTTCTGTAGGACTGAGTGATACTTGATTAGGTAATGGTCCTTGCCATTCAGGCACAGTCTCATTATAGGCTACAGCTAACCCACTTAAAACTAATCGAATGGCAACATCTTGTTTGTCTCTAGGATGGATACTGTAAAAAATTTATTTTTCTACAGTATATTAGATGTATTAGGAATCATCTACAATAATATTCTGAAGTATAATTACTATACCAATATTTATTAAATTCTTAAGAAATATTATTACTTGTGATGGGTTAGAAGATTAGCTTTTATTACTGATGATAATCTGTTATTTTGGCTAATTCATACACATCTACATGTATGTACCGTTATTGTCTAGATTAATTCTTTGGGATTTACAAATATATATAAACTTTGTCAGGGAAAATGCAGAAATTTTACATAGTTTGAATTTCGTTAACTTCATCTATACTCTTAATAATTGAATAATTACTGATGAACAAACACTAACTTTTCACATTTCTAATGCAACCTATTAAAATATTTGTCAAATTTTCTATAGCAATCATCTCATATATATACTCTTAAAAACAGAAACGCATAGTGACATTTCGTCGTCGGTATACCCTCGCTCTACCATCGCCTTGTTGCAACAGGAAACGCTACTCGTCGCTGAACCAAACTGTTCTCCAGTGTTGCTGTGGTCATACCCTGTGTGTCTGAACCCATTGAAGTCGGATTTGATGGTGTTGGGGTATTTCAAAACACCAGCGCTAACGGGACGTCTGGCTCGTAATATGGTTTCACGTAAGCGCCTATGGACTGTCTGGTCTGAGATCCTACGCTGTCCTGGAATTGCTGCTGCAGTAGAGGTCGCTTTTGTGAACCGTTTTCACAAATAACGTAACCGGTGCAGTAGATGTGACGATCCAGGGCAGGTGGGGTCACTGTTCTTTGGGCTGAGCTTGGGCGGTCACGTATTGAACTTCTCTGTCGGTACCTATCCCAAAGGCGAGAAATGGTACTATGGGAAACATTCAGCAGCCTGGTTACATCTGTCTGTTATTCACCTCCTTGTAACCGACCGATAGCGTAGTTGCGTTGGTCTTCGTTCAGATGTGGCATCACTTGGCTCATTGAATGTTTACATGTGCAACTGATTTTGAAACCCAGAAGCCCAGGATTTTAAAGGCCTTAGATTTGGGTTTCATGCGAAAAGCTTGTGAGTTGTTAAACTCATGTGTCTTGGTGCAATCAAACAAAACAAATTTGGGGTAAAAAGTATGACCAGTCACAATTAGTGACCCTACATTTAAAACCAATAATGAATTTCTTTTATCCTTACATAAAGTGACATTAAAAACTATTAAGATTTATGGAAAGAACGATCCCGTTCAAATAAAAAAATGATGAAAAATGGGCTCTGCGGGTTTTTTTTGAAGAGTATATATTACCTTCCATCTGGTGAAAAGAAATCTGGTAAATCCATTGCCACAGACATGAAAACGTTTGGCATTCTTTTATTTGGTACAAGACCATAATCAGCAGTTTGATGCCAGCGGATATCAGGAAATCCTGTTGATATACTTGGATCTAATCTGTTCGCAGCCAACTTAAAGGAAAGGAGATATAATGCAATATTATAGGTCAAAGTCTGCTGGACAGCTAAATAAAGGTTATTAAACTGTATTAAGTCTAGAACCCAAATGACTAGAGAAAAATTCAGATGGCTAGATGGAAAATTGAATTTAATACAATGCATTTTAAAAGATAGTTCCCTAGTGTTCATAATATATGTAACGTTCAAGTTTTAATATGAATTCCTCACAAATTTTGCCTACTGTAATAAAATGGTGGCTCAGTCCAGTTTTGTCATATGAGCAGCTCTCCTACTATCTGCCAAAAATCAAATCTAAATACCAAGTTGGAAAAAAGATAAAAAGGAAGGGCTGAAGTAGTCTTTTACTAACTTGTACAAATCCAAACGGGAAAAGTGGATTAGTATCTCCAGCTTGTGAAAACCGCAATCTCCAATCATCTATCATAGTGGGAAATGTACAATTATATTTGTTAACATTGACAACTTCATTTGCTTCACCTATATATATGGAAAGTATAAAAACACTAATTGTTAATGAAATTGTGGCAGTTAGACAACCCAACAAAGAAGCATGCCTTTTAAAAGTATTTAATGTATAAAATGCAGCAATAAAGATATAAACAGCAATATCATTTTTAATTTACCTTGATACCAGATGGCTCCATAAATGGTCATATTGATCATAGGATGAACCATGGCATTCCATAATACACTGTTACTCATAGTAGCACCCACACCAAACCATTCTTCTTCACTAAATAATATTAGTATCAGCGGGTATCAGTCAAACCTCTTGTTTATTTCACAAAACAACATAACTATGTCTTTCAATACCAAATAATGTCAAAAGAATTCTAATAATCTGTATCAGTACTGAATAGAGTCAATTGGACATAAAAAAACAACAATCTGGCTTGTTGTTGACAATAATTAGTCACATTAGTACATATTATTGTCCCCCGCCTTTCGAAGAAAGCAGGGGACTATTAAAATGGGTTCGTCCGTCTGTCTGTCTGTCTGTCTGTCCGTCTGTCTGTCTGTCCGTCACACTTTTTGGGACACAATAACTCTCTTCCTAATTGAGCTAGAATGTTCAAACTTGGTGTATGTGTTTATTAGGTCAATGCCTTGATGGAGTTCGAAGATGAGCATTTTCCGCTTAGGGTAAGCAGAGATAAGCAATTTGATTGGTTGATGCTTTGGGACACGATAACTCTCTTCCTAATTGGGCTAGAATGTTCAAACTTGGTGTATGTGTTGATTAGGTCAATGCCTTGATGGAGTTCGAAGATGAGCATTTTCCGCTTAGGGTAAGCAGAGATAAGCAATTTGATTGGTTGATGCTTTGGGACACGATAACTTTTAATTGAGCTAGAATGTTCAAACTTGGTGTATGTGTTTATTAGGTCAATGCCTTGATGGAGTTCGAAGATGAGCATTTTCCGCTTAGGGTAAGCAGAGATAAGCAATTTGATTGGTTGATACTTTGGGGCACGATAACTCTCTTCCTAATTGAGCTAGAATGTTCAAACTTGGTGTAGGTGTTTATTAGGTCAATGCCTCAATGGAGTTGGAAGATGAGCATTTTCTGCTTAGGGTAAGCAGAGATAAGCAATTTGATTGGTTGATGCTTTGGGACACGATAACTTTAGTTCTAATTAAGTGAGATTGATGAAACTTGGTGTATAGTTTCATTACAGTAATACCTTGACTAAGTTTGATAATGAGCATTTTCTGCTCAGGGTAAGCAGAGCGATACGCAATTTGATTGGTCGAGACTTTGGAAAACAATAACTCTCCTACTTTGATTGTCCCCCGCCTTTCGAAGAAAGCAGGGAACTATTAAAATGGGTTCGTCCGTCTGTCTGTTTGTCTGTCTGTCCGTTCCGCTTATGGTAAGCAGAGATAAACAATTTGATTGGTTGATCTTCGAATTGAGTAAATGTTCATGCTTATTGTCCCCCGCCTTTCGAAGAAAGCAGGGAACTATTAAAATGGGTTCGTCCGTCTGTCTGTTTGTCTGTCCGTTCCGCTTAGGGTAAGCAGAGATAAACAATTTGATTGGTTGATGCTTTGGGACACTATAACTTTAGTTCTAATTAAGTGAGAGTGATGAAACTTGGTGTATAGTTTCATTACAGTAATACCTTGACTAAGATCGATAATGAGCATTCTCTGCTCAGTCAATACTTTGTAAAAGATAATTTGTGATAAATTTATATGTGTCCTCTAATTATTTTCCTATTTCGGCGGGGGACATCAGCCTCACTGTTGGCTTGTTTTCATGCCTGTGACTATGTTTTGTACCAAGAATGTAGGATACTTTTGTAATTTTATTGTCACACTTACAAATACAGATGTCTGCGAGATCAGAATTTTATATCATAGGTGGCTCCTGTAACAATGTATTCTCTTATGATTCATCATCAACTAGTTCATGAGGTTTATACTGCAAGGGCAATAACTTTAGTTATCTCAAAAAATTTACAATAGCTATTTCTTCCAAAATTCATTATGCAATAAATATCTCAAAATTAGAGCTCTGCAGGTCTCAAGTTTATCTACAAGACAAGCTCAGGGAGTGGTGTATATAATAAAATATATCAGAGTGTAGGTGAGCTTACTCATTATTACAGATGTTAAATATATGAACAACTTACACCGGATACTGTCCAGCTAGTAGACCACATTTATTTAAAGCTTCAACAGATGACCAAGCTTCAACTGGCGTACCTCCCCAATCTGTAGCAATCAATCCAATAGGATACTGTTTCTTATCATACAAACTTTTACCAAATAACCAACAAACAGAAGAGAAATACTTCCATGGTGCAAAACCAACTGATTCTGAAGAAATATTCAAAATAAAAGGTATGGTTTATAACTGACACACAATAAGTGTTGCTTCTTGTTTCTTTTTTTCAATTTTAAAAAATATGGGGTTTATAATTGACACACAATAAGTGTTGCTTCTTGTTTCACTTTCCAACTTAAAAAAATAAAAGATAAAATAATTGCCCATTTAGATCTATGTTCAACTGTATCATCTCATCACAAACTCTACTCACCACATGATTTACAACATACATGGGATAAATTGAAGAGACAATTAATATAATACCTTTGTTGGCCATTGACCAAGGTTGTTGAATCTCAATCAAATCATAAGCTGGATAAGATGACTGTGTTTCTGCTACTGTAAAAAGACGAACTGATGTATATTGGGAAGCTTCATCAACTATCTGAGTAGCATTGTATGTCTGAAAAATAAATATCAATCAGAATTCAGTCCAGCAAGACCTTTGTGATATTACTTATTAATGAACCATGAATAAGCGATTGAAATATATGCAACAGTACATCAGCAGCATTGAGTTAAATTGGCATGTAAGGTGATATATATATATAATAAAAAACAGCTTGTTTTCAATGACTAGTCACAATACTAAAGCTAGCTTAGGCCAAGGTTAAACTACTTCATTGGGCATCCAGGCCAAGAATCATTTTAACGGCAATCTCTGTTTCAAAGAAAGATGTGTAGTTTTATTTAATTTAGAACATAACATTAGAGATATACGATAATTCAAAAAGGCTTACAAAGTAAAACTGCTCATCCATTCTACATGTAGTCTACTGCTACTGGCCACTTATTATGATGAATGTATGCATGACATTTTGACTTAAATTGTGACACTGCTCTTAATTATTTATATTTTACTTGAAAAATTTAAGAATAATGGATGTTTCTTATATTAGGAGATATATGTACCTGATTAACAGTGAACTGCATATTAGACTGTCCAGAACAAAGCCAAACATCTCCAAATAAAACATTTGCTAAACTTCTGGAAGCTGTACTTGATATAGCTGTGATTACAAACGGTATAGTTCTGTTTTCTGGGTTTAATTTCACTTTCCATATACCATTGACCCCATCTGGACCCTTCTCCACAATAGCTTTATAAATCTGTTCTGTGTCACTCACTCGGATAATAATTCTCTCTCCTATGTTTGGTGAATAACCCCATATTACTGCATGATAGGGTGCTCTTTGAAGCACCATATTGTTGCCATAATAACTGGCAAATGTAAATGGTTTCGGAGCTACTGTCCCTGGATCATTCTTTTCAAGCACAACATTATCTGAAATGAAAAGATGGATTGTCGTTAGTTAACTGATCAAATTAAATCCAATTCTTTAAACATACATTATGCAAGAGCTAAATCTGCCTATTGCAGATCTTTCTTTAGGCCTGAAATGTTCTCTAAATTATTATCTAGTTTCTAACTATTATAGTGAGAACTGTCAGCTCTTTATCTAATCTCCCATAATGTATCTTTAACTATAATCGTACATATGAAACAATACTGTCAATAAGGATATAGCTTTCACCACAAGGCATCTTCTTAATTGATTTTATTTGATACGGTCCATTAATAAAAACAAGTACAAGCATACTATGGACCATGAATGTCATGATATTAAAGCTACTATCAATGTGGAATTGTCCAAAGAGCAATCACGCAAAGTTTCATGTCAATTGTACTTTAATTGGTGGGACCTTAGGCTTCTTTCAAAGATAAGTAGCTGGTCCAAAAGTTGGGGAAACCAGACAAGTGACAATACATGTACATTTCTAGCACCAAATGGGATAGAATTATTAGAATCTATGACAACGACCATGCTAAAGCGGTGGACACACTAGTTGATTGATTTTGCCAAATCAATCGACGCCGAATTGCAGCCGAATGAGTGCACACACTAGGCGAATGCTTCCCCTGATTCACCAGTCATTGTATATCCTTTAACAACATATGAATGATTAAATACAACAATCAATCACGTGACTTCTCGATATGAGTGTCTAATGAATTCTATAATCAGGCGCATGCTTCAGCAAAATGGACACACTAGGTGAATATATTAAACATGTTTGATTTGGGTGAATGACAGTGGATGCTTAGATGAATTTCGGCACCGATTGATTTGGACGAATCATTTGGCTAGTGTGTCCACCGCTTAAGACAAGGCTTTCATTAGAAGTTCTAAACATAGTGTTACCAAATAATTAACATATGCCCAGCAGCAATATTTTGAAAGGTCGATTTCAAATTTGTGGGGTCTGGGCTAGGCCATTAATGACACAAAATAAATGACTGATGATTCTGAATCTTGACCTGTCAAGTGTTTGTAAGCTTTTGGAGACAGGGACAGTAACTCTGTGAAAAAGTATTACCTGACTCCAAATTTCTATGAGTTGATTCCTTTAGAGTCGTTGAACCATCTCACCAAGTTTAAAAAAATAAATCTCCAACACTCTGACATTTCTTATAAGAATTGTGTATGGATGGACAAAAAGGGAGAATAACAATATTCTCCCACAAGAAATGCGGTCATATAAAAACAAAACAACAAGATTGTATAGAATCAATACAGTTGTTAATCATCAGTGTTGAAGGTCTGTTACTTTCTTTTCAATACATATATGTATCTGAACATTTATTGATCAGAGAAATAGTAATCTCATTATTGATTAAAAATTGCTTGAAAACATGTAGATAAATATGTAAAATATAATTTAATCATTTGAAGAAATGTAAACACCATGTGTCTGTAAACTGATATGACACAGCAGTGTTAATTTAAGGTCACAAAATATGCAAGTTTCTTAAATGTAGATATAAAGTGATATTGCTAAGTGTCACAGCTGTGTTTAACAATGCAATCTACCATATGGTGATGAACAAACTTGTGAGGTGAAAGTATACACTTTTGATTATTTACATGTACAACATCTTTTTGCCTTTAATTTGCATATACCGGTAGCCTACCATATGAAATCTGTTAATTTGATAATTTACAAAATATACATGTAAATGTGAGACCAAATAACTGTTTTTAAAATAAAAAAAGTAATAAATATGATTGTGGACCAGGCACCACAGCCCAGCAGGCACCAACAAGCTTAGCATTTATAATCCATACTGTTGTCATGGCAATGTGTACACAGTGGCCTGCAGAGGTTTGCTGGTGCAGGAGCCAACTCCTTGATTGAATGTTCAAAAATGCAAGGGAGTTAATTTAAAAAAAAAAAAAAAAAAAATACAGTTCTTAATCAAACTAAATATAATTCAATCACATTAATTAAATTTTGTGCACAAATGAGATCTCCTGGAAGCGACCACTTGAATTAGTACTTCATTCTGTTACAGGCTCTAGAGAATCTATAGGCTACTGGGAGACTTTATACTTATATCATAAACCACCATTTCGATGGATCTACATTCACTAATAAGAAATGAAATGAAATGGGGTTTAACGTCCTACTGTTCTGCTCCTATACTGGGCTAATGAATACGGGCATACACCATACGGTGTGCTATGAGGGAAATTTTGTTTGGGCAGCAGCACTATCGCCTACTCTTATATCGAATTCCAACTGCCAGGGGATCTTTTATGTGCATTCAAATATATACACGTGACCTCGGTTTTTCGTATCATCCGAAGGACTAGACAGCTGTCCTTGTCAGGCCCTCCCTCCTGCATCACTGACAAGTAACTATACATCAACATACTGACACTGCAGCTTATTAATATTTTGGACTACACAGATCGACTTGCACCTGCTCTCAAAAAAATTGTAATGGCTGCCTCCCCGGCACCCCATTTGGAATTTAGTTCTAAAGTAGGGTGACCCACCATAAATAAATATCTCCAAATATCTCGACAATTACGCCACAATATTTATATATATGCCAAGCCTCAAATCAGTTTCACACAATTATAGTCACTAAATAAACGACCATGTTGTACTTAATAAGCTATGACCATTAATCATCTATAAATAATAGACTGAAAACTGGTTCCAAGTGTCGTCCATAACATCCAGACACTTTTGAGTAAAAGATAGGTTACGTGCCCTTGTTTTGAAATTAGTCTTGCTTAACTAGTCTATTGACCATTCTACGTCTGATTGACAGGTCGGGATAATCAAGACTACTTTTTTACGAAACATAACAGAAAGCTAGAACAAGAAATTGAATTTAGAAATAAGCACTTTAGACAACTCAACAATTGTTTTAAGAAACTTGTAAAAGTAAAATGAAACTACAGCTAGAAGTAGAATCATGTTCCTGTCTAACCCGAGTGTTTCAGAGATATTATTTGTACTAAACCAATTAACGGTACAGTTAATGATAAAGCAATTTAAAAAATAAAACAAACGTTATTTCTAAAGCTGCTGTAATAACCAAGAAGCTAAATTTTACTGCTATTCAAAATTGTCAACAATAGATTTTTTACGGCTGTAATAGCCTAGTTGATGATATATTTGTGGAGAATTGCACGTGCCATGGCTAATTGGCTATTTATCGACTCAAAGAGAGTGCGGGGTAGTCAGAAATCAGTTCGAGACACGCAACTGAAGCGTGCTATTTGGCTATTTATCGACTCAAAGAGAGTGCGGGGTAGTCAGAAATCAGTTCGAGACACGCAACTGAAGCGTGCACATTTAGCCGTGTCGAAACCAACTTTCTGTAGAGTGCACGGGTCACCCTATCTAAAGAATTTTTGTTTATTTTTGTTTCTTGTCTTGAGTTGAAGTGATCTCTTCACGACAAGTAGTGGACCGTGTCGCTATACTACTTACATTCAGGATTAAACGACATCTGAACTACATTTTGTTCTACTGAAATGACCAGAAGCAGGCACGCATAAAACACCAATATGTTCAGCAACATCGTCATCTTCAGAGATATCACCTCAATCACTTAGCCATGTCACAATTCAATCAATCAAAGACACGGTATCTTTCTCTACTTTCTATTGTTGTATCACGTGCCGTAGTAAATGTCATGTGATTAAAATGGGCGTTGATTGACGATCTGTATGACTGGACAGGAAGCCACATCACAGAACTGTACCATTCGGCAAACCTCGACAGATTCTACGCATCTAATGCATAGATATCCTATAAAGACATCTATGATCTAATGTACCTGAATCTGACGAGGTTTGCCGAGTGAGAACTGTACTAGATTATGGCCACAGATCACTAAAGATTTCCCCATTGACTTGAATGTTAATTCTCGTATCTTAGACCGGCTCTAACTTTTCCCCAAATGTTCGTTGGGTAAAACGCTTTCTACCACAGATGGAGCAACATATATGGCAACCTCTTGCCCAAAAGCACGTATGGGGTTCTTCATGAAAAACTTGAGATACACAAGCTGGAAGTAGAGACTACCCCAACTAGTAAACATGCAATTTTAGGCCCTACATTTCAACCTAACCAACCTCTCAACTCTTGTATCCTTCCGCATCAAAATTATGAATATTCACCAACTCCTGGAAGAAAATGTATCTCAATATAACGGTACGATAAAGCTTAAACCGAAACAAACAATCCAATTAATCGCCTTTCACTAGCCAACGCGATATCACGTGACATTCTAAACATCATCTGATCTAACCTTACATACAACGTAGGCCTACACCATCCAACCTTGGATATAACACTCCTCCATTCCTTTTAAAGGCATCTACTTTATAGGAAATTGAAATATTATAAATGTAATCTATTATAAATTTACTGTCCGCGCAATGTCTCTAAAATAGCCTAAAATAGTTTGCACTTTAAATTTCTGAACACTTTCTTTAAATATAAAAGTTCATTAATCAGCAGACAAAGTTATTTAAATAATTTGTCCGCCTTCTGTTTCTTTGTGATCGCTGATTATCTGCCTGCTCTGGTTGTTGTGGTGGTAGATTATTCTCCTGTTGGTCCTCATGATTATTTGCCTGTGTCTAACTTCAGGGTCGTGTCTTAATCTACTCTATAAATTTTCTCTACATTTATCAGGATCAAATATCTCTTTATCAACATTTTGGATAACACTGTTCACAAATTTAAAATGACCTGAATCTCGATACACCTATAGTCCATCAGTAACTCTTCTTGCAGCTACTGAAGATCCATCAATCCTATAGATGACATAATATAAAATGCTGGTTCATTTATTCATTTTATTCTGCCTGAGTAATACAAAATCCCCTATTACATAATTATGTTGTTTATTATTTCTCTTTTCAGCATTTTTCCTAACTTTCTCTTTATACTCATTATCATTTCTGGTAATTATTTCTTCTCTATCTTCTTGTTGATTTTCTGAATGTAATGCATCTTGATGATCTAATTTTGTTCGGATTTCCTCTTCATTAAAGCTTTGTATGGACTAATCATTGTAGCTGGATGAGGTGATGATCTATAACCTATTAATATATCCTGAATGGCTAATATATTGTCTGATCCTTGTAGATGACTTATCTGTTCTGTCTTGTTACCTTGTTTAACAACTTCTCCATCGGCTCTCGGATGTAGTGGTGTTATTCCATGATGTGTAAACCCTTCTTCTCTAGCAAAATTCTCAAATTCTTTAGAGTTGAATGGTGGTCCATTATCACTTTGTAATATTCCCGGTGTACCATATGCTGCAAACATTTCTTGAGTTTTGGTTTGATCGCTTTAAATGATGTTGTTCTCTCAACTTCTGGATATCGTGTTCTCTTATCGATAGCAAGAAAATTGTAGTGTCCATCTGGATATGGTCCTCCAAAATCTATGGCGATACAATCACATGGTTTCTCGGGAATCGTTGACATTTTCACAGGTTCTTGTTTATGACTTTTAGTTGTAACTTGACATTAGTAACATTGACCTATTATAACTTCTACCAAATTATTTAAAGCTGGAAAGCAATATTTCTCTTTAAGCGTCTTCTTCGTTTTAGTGATGCCAAGATGTCCTAAATTATGTGCAGCTTTAATGACTTTTCTATGTAGTGATTCTGGTATTACTATTCTGTTTAATCTAAATACCATCTCATCATAAACATATTATTCGTCCTTCACTGAATAGTAATTATTGATAGTATGATCTTTTCTGTGTCTTTCCCAATCACTCTTCTCTGTAATATTACTTAATTTTTGTAGAATTACATCTTTCTTCGTTTCTTGTTTTATTCTATCTAATAATGTATCATATTCATCTAATGATTACTTGTTTGATTATTTTCTCTGTAGAATCTGTACCAGTGATTGGTAGTGGACGGCGTAACAGAAAGTAAAGCGGATCTTATTCATCTTTACCAGGTTCATAAATTAACTCAAAATCTACATCTTGTAATTCCATAACCCTTTTCTCTATTCTAGGTGGTAGTTTCGCACATGGTTTGTTGAACATGGATATTAGAGGTTTGTGAGATGTAATGATCTTGAATTTCGGCGCTCCTCATAAATACATTTAAATAGTTGTTTCATCCACCTAATAGACAATGCATTTTTCTCTGTCTGACTATAACGTTACTCTGTTGGTGTCATAGTTCTCGATATAAAATTTACTGGTTTCAATTCTCTTTTTATTTCTTGAAATAATCCTGCTGAAAGTCCCTCATGAAAACTTGCTTCTGTTCTAACTATGATAGGTCTAATAAGGTTGAAATAGCTCATGACATCATCATTGGTAATGCTCTCTTTAAATTTCTCAAAAGCTTGTCTATCTTCTCTTCCCCATTTAAATTTTATATCTTTTTGTGTTAGTTTTCTTAAAGGTTCTGTCATAATGAATACCTGGGTAAATTGCTTAAAATCGTTTTGTGAAACGCATCTATCTTAAGTTAGGATGAAATTTTAGTTTAAGACGTTTTTAAGGAGATTTAAGATTTTGTGAAACAGAGCCCAGGTTCAGTAAACATTATTTGTTTGTATTTATGGACTTTGGAACATCAACAGCAACGTAACATCACCCAAACTGTTACGCATGTGACCATGTCGTCGCCCACGTCCGCCCACCCTTTCAATTGTTTGTGGACGTGTTTATCCCAAAGATCTCGGATGGCTTCGATTTTGGAACAGATCTTTCAGACAAACGAGTGAAGTGAAAGAACAATTAAAGTTTTTAGAAAATATTTTGCTTTCTAGTCGACAAAATGAAAAGCTCGAAATCAAATGACTTGTTGATCAATTTACGGGATAATAAAACACTTTTACTTTATTTTACTTGAACAAAGTGAATTTCTACTAAACTAACTATGGATTAAAACATTTTGTCTGGAGCCACTCTTCCTTGGGAAACTTTTTCAGGCACTGATAATTATTTGCTTCATCGGATAAAAATTGTTACCATTATAGGGGCCACAAGCTAAAAATGTGATTTTTTTCGTACAATCAGATGCCACAATCCAGGAAATTATGGTCTGATATGCCCGAATATCTAAAGGAACGTAGATCTTTGGGGTATAATCATAAAATTCAAGTTTCATCAAAATCGGATAAAAATTGTGATTTCTAGAGGGTCCAAAGCGACTACAGCCTTGGCATTGCATACTTTTACACTATTTGCGTACAACGGGCGGCCATTTTGTCGGGCAGATTCAGCCGTTTGTTTTTGTTGGGTTTTTTTTTTCGAAATTCGATCTCATCCATTCTTTGGGTATCATGGCGATATTTTTAAACGGTTTTTAAAACTGAATACAAATTGTGACTTCTAAAAACATGATATTTCGGACAATTCAGGGGCCATAACCCAGAAAGTTACGTTCCGATATGCGCGATTATCGAAAGACACTGATATCTTTGTGATATAAACATAAATTCAAAGTTTCATCAAAATCGAGGATCCTCAACCTTGATATACCATAACTTTACACTATTTACGTAGGAGCGGCCATTTTGTCAGGCAGTTTAATCAGAAGTTGCAGCCCATACTTTTTTTTTTTTTTTTTTTGAACCTAATCCATAATGGGGGATCACGGTGGCTAAGTGGGTAAGACGCTGACTCGCTAGCCTGGAGGTCGGGTGTTCGATCCCTGCATTGGCCTACAAAGTTCATCCAGATTTTCCGGCGAGGTTCCCCCTTGTCAGTGATACAGGATTGCAGGGAGGTAGCCAGGATTTGCTGAGTGGTGGAAAAAATATCTTCCTAGCGGAGCGATGAAAATTTTTTTTTTGCAGGGGGCCGTGGTCTTTTATGAAAATTCAACCCTTCTTGGTGTATTTTCAAGGTATCTGCTGCCTTTTGTATTTGTTTCAGTGCAAATCAAATTTCCATTTATATATTCATATTTTTACCAAATTTACTTAATTTTCATCAGTGATACAGAGACTCTGCCAGGGAACTAAAAACTTTTTGACACCAACTGTGACCAAAAGACCGAGCATAAAATTGCCCCACCCCACTGTTTCTCAGTTGTGTTTTTTTCAAATATTACTTTATTACTTGAGATTAAAAATTAAAACGATTCTTAAAACGGTGTTTATGTTTTATTTGAGTAGAACGAATTATGACAACAGGTAGATATTGATAATTAAAACACGTTGTTTTATTTGACTGGTGTCTCACGAATTACGACATCCAAACCTTTAACATTGGAGTTTAATATTAAAGACCGTATAATTGTAAAATAAATAGACCTACACAACTTCTAAATATAAATAAACAAAATACCAATACTTCTTTCTTTAAACTAATTTGGGATGATAGGTTCTACTACGGCACACAAAAATAAATTATGCCGTGGCAGACATGGTTTGCGTCGGCTTTTACCATGGCTTTGCCGTTTGCCATGGTAAATTTCGAGCGTCGAGTTTGTGCACAGAGAAGGACGAAAGGCTTTCTTCGATTTTTTCTTTGTGCTGCGCGGCAAAAAATAGTTCCGCCCGGCGTGGCTACATCCCTGCTTTGGATGGGACGAAAAATCGAGTATCCCTGTACACATTGGCGTGCACGTAAAAGATCCCTTTTCAGTTGAAATTCGATATAAGAGTAGGCCGTAGTGCCGCTGTCCGGGCAAA